CTGTTTTTTTTCTTTTTCTTTATTGCAAACTTTGTCAATTCTGTTTATTAGGCAGTTCTGTCATTTACTTGCATTTAACCATGGCCACTAACTCTACAAATCCATTCCCCCCCCCCCGCACCAAACTATGGGCCAAATAGCAGGAGAGACGAGATTCTAAAGCCTTGGTTGCTAACCAGTCTATTGCAAAAAGTAAAGGCAGCCTACTGTGGGAATTATTCTGCCAAGTCAATCATGAATCTAAAAGAGACAATCACCTAGGTAGGCATTAGTCATGGCACCTAAGGAAGGAACTGAATAGTGAGTTTGTTCCTCACTAGGAAACTAAATGAAGCTTAGTACATAATAGAATTCCTTTAAATGAGGTAATAGATAGAACCTTAGCTTGGCTGATCATTACTGCCAAGTCATGAGCTTGATACTCACTTGGTGTTGCATTTGTATCCTTTGGTCAAAGTGAGCTAGCTTAGTAAATAATTGGGTGCCTCAGCATGTGGTAATGTTTAGCTGGTCTGGGTGATCATTACTAATGATTAGTGAGTTTGATCCTCCCTAGCTGCCACATACTTTTAGCATTGTGCCCAATTAAGTTTAAGTAATTAATATGGCACTTCAATATGAGATACTAGCTAATGAGTTAGTCTGGGTGATCGCTACAAATAATTAGGGAGTTTGATTCTTGCTAGGTACCTCATAATGGTAGGCTTGTGGCAAATTATGTTCAGAGTAAGTAAATAAGGGTAATATGTTTTCCTTTCAAGGAAACATTTGGAAGTCATTGACTGAGCAACTAGTATAGATTTTGGCTGAAATTTGTAAAATCTTTCTCATAAAAAAATCTTTCAGGAAAATAGGTTTTACAAGTCCAGTAGCTGTTATTGCTCTTTCCAGTACTGATGGGGGATTTCTTTCCTAACTTTTTATTTGAAGTAGTGTAGAATGTCAACATCAGGATTATGACATTTTTTCTTTGTGTTACATGTGCTATCCATTTTAGTTGTTGCTACTGTTGGTAGTTCTTAAGTGATGTGTTTTGTTATGTGGTACAGTTCATTCTTTGTGATTCTGTAGCACCAGTCCACAATGTTCATAGGACAGTCTTTGCCAAGACCCTCAGGCTTCACTTGCTCAAAGCCAATATGAGTTAATGGTTAAAAGAGCTAGACTGGTTTACCATTACTACTGAATAGCGAGATTGATCCTCACTAAATGACCCATATTTATGTTCTTGTGCCAAGCTTCGTAAATATTAATACTTCAGCATGGATATAATAATTTGGTCTGGGTGATCACTATTACTGTGTAATGAGTTTGATGCTCACTGTGTGTCACATGTGGAATTGTGCCAACCTATGTAAATAATATGGCATCTTGATGTGAGGTAATAGGTAACGAGCTAGTTTAGTAGACGACTACTACTGAGCAAAGAGTTTGTTCTTTACTACGTGCTGCATGATGGTAGGTTTGGATAGGGCACCTCAATATAAGGTAATTGTATAATGGCCTAATTTGGTTGACTCTCCCTACTGAGTAATGAATCTGACCCACACTAGGTGCCTCATCATTGTGGCCATGTACCACACTAAATTCAGTTCAGTAATACATGACATCATTCTCAATGATGAGCTGAGTGCATATTAGTTATTAGTAACTTTCTCTCCACTGCACAAACCTTGAGGGTGTGACTCATGAGACCAATCCAATTTAACAATATGTTGTCATGGAAACTACAATATTGTTCAATATAGAAAGTTCCTTGCAGGCCAAGTAACACAGAAAAGGTATGAATGAATCAGAAGTTGGAATAGAATGGATGTTTGCATGTTAACACCAAGAGCCATGACTTGTCAGAAAGTAAATATCTTGGAACAGGTACAAAGAATTATTAAGTAGATTCTTGAAAAAGGAACAGCTATATTGATCTCCAAAAACCAAAGAGGATCATTACAAAACCAAACTATGATTGATTGTGCTGTCCGAATTCATTAGATGAAGGATTCAGATAATTATTAATTTGGACTAGCCTTTCAGGTTTTTGTTCAATTATACTTGGTAGTAATAAAAGATATAGTAGTCTATGGTTGTCTAATTTTTTTTTATGTTATATATATATATATATATATATATATATATATATTATTTTTAAAAAAATATGATTCCTTCGCTACATAAGAGTTCTCATGTTTCAAAAACGAGAGCCAAAAACCTCAATATAGTTATTAGAATTCAACTGAGTTAAAGTATCAAGCCCTGTTTCATCCTCAAGTGAAAATTTAGGAACAAACAATCTTGAAATTTACACCTCTTTATAGGCATGTTCATTTGCAAAATTAATTACTATGGAAATGGTTGGGGCAACCATTTTGGTAAGGAGTCTAAGAGATAATTTTTATCCACATATCAGTCACCTTTTGGCTCTCGTTCTTGAAACATGAGAGCTCTTATGTAGCGAAGGAATCATATTTTTAAAAAAATAATTATAATTTAAGCTCTACTTCCTTATGGTGCACAGTTTTTTTTAAAAATAAAAACAAAAATACTAAAGAACTCTGGATTATTTACCTAACGTGTTCTTTCCTATTTTTATACATATCTGCACGTAGCAAAGAAGGAACACAGAACTAGACTGCAGACTATCGACATAAATGATTTGTTTAGAGTAGTGAAGGCTTGTATAGAACCAGTCATACTTACTGAAAGTGCTAATAACAAGGTGCAAATATTTGCCACGAACACAATGAACAACACACCTCAAGTGTGTGTGTGTGTGTATATATATATATATGTTTGTCAAAATTCATATATGTCAAAAAATATATATGTAAAAAGTATGAATAAAGAAATGAGAAAATCTTTTCAACATTAACTCTTTCATTTATTATGTATTAAATTATATCACTTAGGGTCTTCCATAGTTTACTTTTACTTACTCAGCTTTAAGAATATCTTGGGGCATGTTTAAATTTAATAATTTAGAAAATTTAATATTTTTCCTTCTATTTCTAAATACATACTGCAAAATAAAATCCTTCCATTTACCTTAATAAAGTCCCTCAGGGAACAAAATACAATAATAAAGAAAAACTTTCCTTCTCTCTCTAGAAATATATATATATATATATATATATATATATATATATATATAATAGAAAAAGAGAAAGATATATATATATATATATATATATATATATATATCTTATATATATTCTCTCTATCTATATTTTCTCTCTCTCTCTCTCTCTCTTCTCTCTCTATATTCTCTCTCTTCTCTCTCTATATTCTCTCTCTCTCTCTCTCTCTCTCTCTATTCTCTCTTCTCTCTCTCTCTCTCTCTCTCTCTCTCTCTCTCTCTCTCTCTCTCTATATTCTCTCTTCTCTCTCTCTCTATTCTCTCTCTTCTCTCTCTCTATATTCTCTCTCTTCTCTCTCTCTCTCTCTTCTCTCTATATATATATATATATATATATATATATATATATATATATATATATATGTGTGTGTGTGTGTGTGTATGTATGTGCATGCACATTACGGAGAACATTCATCTGCTAGGGTAGCTAACATTTCCCAAATGCAGATATTTTTTTTTCTTCAAAACCCACATTGTTTTCTGGCGCTTTACACAGGAAATATGTTGAAACATCAGAGATACAATGAAACATTTTTCTACTCAGTTTTTCTCTCTTTTGGTTTAACCTGTGGTACAGTTCTCAGGGATATTTCAATGGAGCAATAACAAGTCACTTCCCTGACAAATCAACCAAGGTAAGATTGGTTCAAACCCATATATATATATATATATATGTATATGTATGTGTGTGTGTGTGTGTGTGTATATATATATATATATATATGTGTGTGTGTGTGTGTGTGCGCACATTTCATTGAATACACAAATGTATTTTGATTTAGTTTTTTTATACAATTTCTCATGCAATCTAATAAGATTTTCTTTTCAGACGATAAATTATATAAAAACTGTCTTTTTATCTGAGTGCTTTCGGCTATACATTTAGCCATTTTCAAGGATAAAATATTTTAACTGTTAAATGACAGTTAAAATATAATTATCTTCCTTCTTAATTCCTATTCTTTTATTTTTGTCTCTTATTGTTTTTTTCTCATTCTTTCACACTCAGTAAGCCCTTGCATTTTAGTGGCTTTATTGCCTTACTTCAGATGAAATTGATTGATTGATTTGGTTTTATTGCTCAACCATTTGAAGTTTTTTTAAAGCCAGAAAATATTTTTAGATTTTAAAAAATTCTTTTTTTAGATACTAATTTAGTGATACTAATTTTAATACTTAACCTTATAGTTGGGATGGGGAAAGAGGTGGATTCACACTTTTCCTAAGGGTATTTGTGCTTCAGTGAATATAACAAATCCAATTGGAATTAGATTGCAGATCTCTGACTAACAATTCCCAGCCATTATCCATGACACCACTTACACATCCAAGATTACAGCACCTGATATTCCCAAGTGGTCTCAAATAGTGGTTGAAGCCAATGCCAATTTTATCGAATAAATTTACTCTTTAGTATTTCAAGCTATCTTTATGTAATTTTAGTAAATATATCTGTGAAAATGAGATTTCAGTGTTATTTTCATTTTTACATAATTTAGATGACAATTTATCCCTCACACCCTGTATACCTGGCACTTGACTTAATCTCTAAAAGCAAAAATAAAAAAAAATATGTATTATTCTCTGACTCTCTGTCAGTTATAACATAAAAAAAAAAAAACAAACTTGACAAGCCACTGATGGTGAAATTGTTATACAGCCTGGATTCCTTATCCAACAGTAAAGAAAGTGATCTCTCGGATCCCAAGCTATGTAGCAATTAGAAGAAATGGGAAAGCAGATTCAGCTGCAAAGTCTGTCAAAAATGAAACCCCTGATAATAATTTCTTAATCCTTGATATGGATCTAAAATATAAAGAGTTACATTCAACAGAAATGTCAAGAGCATTGAACCAATATCACAAACATCTCACAAACTAATTCTAGATGAATGGAAACAGACGTCTCGAAAAGGGAGAAAAACAGACGTCTCGAAAAGGGAGAAAAACAGACGTCTCGAAAAGGGAGAAAAACAGACGTCTCGAAAAGGGAGAAAAACAGACGTCTCGAAAAGGGAGAAAAACAGACGTCTCGAAAAGGGAGAAAAACAGACGTCTCGAAAAGGGAGAAAAACAGACGTCTCGAAAAGGGAGAAAAACAGACGTCTCGAAAAGGGAGAAAAACAGACGTCTCGAAAAGGGAGAAAAACAGACGTCTCGAAAAGGGAGAAAAACAGACGTCTCGAAAAGGGAGAAAAACAGACGTCTCGAAAAGGGGAAAAAACAGACGTCTCGAAAAGGAGAAAACAGACGCGTCTCGGGAAAAAACAGGCGTCGAGGGAAAAACAGACGTCTCGAAAAAGGGAGAAAAACAGACGTCTCGAAAAGGGAGAAAAACAGACGTCTCGAAAAAAACAGGGAGAAAAACAGACGTCTCGAAAGGAGAAAACAGACGTCTCGAAAAGGGAGAAAAACAGACGTCGAGAAACGGGAAAAAACAGACGTCGAGAAAAACAGACGTCTCGAAAGGAGAAAAACAGACGTCGAAAACGGGAGAAAAACAGACGTCGAAACGGAGAAAAAAGACGCGTCGAAAACGGGAGAAAAACAGACGTCGAGAAAAGGAAGAAAACAGACGTCGAAAAAGGAAGAAAACTGACGTCGAAAAGGAAGAAAACAGAAAAAAGGAAGAAAACAGACGTCGAAAAAGGAAGAAAACAGATGTCTCTAAAAAGGAAGAAAAAACAGATGTCTAGAAAAGGAAGAAAATAGAAGGTCATGCTAGCTTGACTACACATTAGCCACACATAATCTCACCCATTCATACTTGCTGGAGAATGAAGATCAACCAACAAGTTCAACATGCACTCATGGTGAAACATGTTTGCTGAATATGCTCACTTCGGCCCCTATAAGATATAAATATTACATGGAAAACAACATGATAAAAGTATCTGAAAATACTGACCCATCAACAAAATGTCTTCCCTTAAAGAAATAGGTTTATACCAAAACCTAACACTACAAAAGATCACCTACGAAGTATATATCTATAAAACATATGTATACCCTGAAAGTATAAAATTATATAAAAAACATCTGTAGCTGAAGACATCAAATTGTGTTCGAAATATATTTAGGTTAAGGCCTTAAATGACCCATAAAGGTTGACATGCCACTAAAATAAAGCAAGCAATAAGGTAAATTATAAATATGTATACTTCAGGAGAGAAGTGAAAAAAAATTATGAAACCTGAAGCGGACAGTTTTGCCCATAACTATTGGAGTAAATAGGAACAGTCCTAAAAAGTCTAGGCAAAAGCCAGAAAGGACTGAAAGTCTAAAACAGCACTGAGACCAATCAAATAACAATATTAGTGAAAATGGAATGCTAAATGATGGTGCTGTATTATGGAGAAGATTTGCTGCTAATTTCCATTGTTAGCCATCAATTATATTTAATGTGAAAAATAAATACATTAATATTAGTTTCCATTTTGAATGTTAATTCATGCACTTTCATTTAAAATAATTTGAAGACTTTAAAATAATGAAATTTCAACAAACGCTGAATTTGCGACACAGAATGAAATTTCAACAAACGCTGAATTTGCGACACAGAATGAAATTTCAACAAACGCTGAATTTGCGACACAGAATGAAATTTCAACAAACGCTGAATTTGCGACACAGAATGAAATTTCAACAAACGCTGAATTTAAACACAGAATGAAATTTCAACAAGCGCTGAATTTGCGACACAGAATGAAATTTCAACAAACGCTGAATTTTATGACACAGAATGAAATTTCAACAAACGCGAATTTGCAGAATGAAATTTCAACAAACGCTGAATTTGCGACACAGAATGAAATTTCAACAAGCGCTGAATTTGCGACACAGAATGAAATTTCAACAAACGCTGAATTTGCGACACAGAATGAAATTTCAACAAACGAATTTGAAAAATTTCAACAATTTGCGACACAGAATGAAATTTCAACAAACGCTGAATTTGCGACACAGAATGAAATTTCAACAAACGCTGAATTTGATACAGACAACAAACGCTGAATGAAAAATTTCAACAAACGCTGAATTTGCGACACAGAATGAAATTTCAACAAACGCTGAATTTGCGACACAGAATGAAATTTCAACAAACGCTGAATTTATTTCAAATTTCAACAAACGCTGAAATTTCAACAAACGCTGAATTTGCGACACAGAATGAAATTTCAACAAACGCTGAATTTGCGACACAGAATGAAATTTCAACAAACGCTGAATTTGCGACACAGAATGAAATTTCAACAAACGCTGAATTTGCGACACAGAATGAAATTTCAACAAACACTGAATTTGCACAGAATGAAATTTCAACAAACAGAATTTGCGACACAGAACAAATTTCAACAAACGCTTTAATTTGTGACAACAAAGAACTGCATTTAAATCAATGTTAAATTTGTAAAAAAGAATTTTAAATAAATGCCAACTTGGTGATAATGAAATTTAAGTAAATGCTAAATTTTTGATAAAATATATAGAATTTCAACAAGTTGTAAATTTGTGATAAAAGAATGAAGTAAATAGTAAATTTGTGATAGAATATATTCATAAATTAGGAATTTTCAGAGTGTACAAACATTCTATATACTTCTCTTCCTTCGTTAATTGGTCAGTTTTATTTTTACTCAGTTTTTTTTAGCACGAGCTCTTAAAGGCTCACAAAAAGCTGTGAGTTAAAAATATATTAATATTCACCCAATACCAGGCTTCAGAGCCACTCAAGGTAGAGGGACTGTTGATAAGTTAATGATGAAGGTGTGATACAAGCGAAAGAGAGAACAGTAAAAAGTGAAGCTTACGAGAATAAGGATAGATAAAAACTCTTGAAGAGGTTAAAATTGTAGCATTCAGGAAAGTATTCACACAGGAGCTGATTCTGCAGCTCTTGGGGGAAAAAGCTGTCTACATAGAATTTTCTTCTATTTAAACATGTTGGAAATTATAGTGGTTTGACACTGTGGACACAGCCTGCCATCATCTGAATTCCTCGATCTGCACCTGATGCTCACACTTCCTAGTGTAATTCAACTTTTGAAGTTTCCCAATATGCAACCTCAGGTTTGCCATTTTTAGACATTCTGTGATAGAGGATGAAAGGATTGCATATAACCAATGATCTTTAATAATCAGAAATAGATTAGAAGGTGGGTTGGTAGGGCCACGGATATTTTAGTCTTACAAAATCTGATTAATGCTTATTCACGACATTTTTAGAAAAGGAAAAGAAATACTACCTACCTAATCAGTCGACTATTTATAAAAACTATTTAAATGACATTCAGATATAAATAAATGGTATAAAAGTCATATGTCTATATTGAGCCTCAAATAGGAACTTGTAATTCAATATGTCAGACTTTATTTTAAATTGTAAACTTTTTTTTTGCTGTTCAAAAAAAATCAAACAAGTGATATCTAATATCTGTTTGACAAGTTTTGTAAAAAAAAAAAAAAAAAATATTTTGTTTTCCTTGGCAATTTTGAGAAAAAAAAGGTTTTCAGAAATTATATATATATATATATATATATATATATATATATATATATATATTAGTTGTTGTCGAGTTCGACGTATGAGGGTTAAGCAGATCAGTTCCCAGGAAACCAACAGCTCAACAACGGCACATGAGATTTGATTATAGTGGTGAAGGTTTCGTGCAGGACCATCCACATTTTTTGAAGGGCCGAATTCAGAGACCTGGTGCACTAAGTGCCACAAGGTCCCCGAACGACCCTCCACAAGGTTTTGAATTCAGAGTTTTCCTTCTCCTAGACCAGTTGACATCCAAGGCTATAGAACCCAGTCAGTCCTGCTATTCACTCATAGCTGGACGGAGAAGAAAAGTATTAATACCTTTCCAAAGGGTATTAGCACGTAAGTGAATGTAATGCATTTGACTGGAATTCGAACTTGGCTCTGCGATTCCTCAATCCAAGCCGCTATCCATTACTCCATCGTGCCTATATATAAAATTTGTCCCTTAGCTGATTCATGTTGCTTTCAGCATCCTGATTCCAGAGTTTTAATAGTTGGACTTGTCCATCCACTCTTCAGGGGATATCAGCAATTGATTGCTTATATTTCCTGATTTTTTTTCTCTTTTATACATTTATCATTGGCATAAGCTTTTGCCAAAAGTATTTAATTGGAAGAAAAAAATTTCAGTATAATAGTTACCAAATACAACAAAAAAACTATTTTTACACAAATATATACATGCATTAAGATGTTAACAAAGAATGCATATACACTGCCCTATGTATAGAAACATACATATATATATATATATATATATATATATAAAAACACACTGACATGCATTCATACTGAACACATAAACAGACAGGCACTAACAGAAGTGCACATAGACACACACATAAGCACTGACAGAATTGCATGCATTCACGCACACACTGACAGAGGTGCGTGCATGCACACATGCACACACTAAAAGGCAGACTACATTCCTATCAAGTCCACTATAGGGTCTTCCTTCCTAAACTTTTATTTGAAGTAGTGTGGAATGTCAACATCTTGATTATGTCATTGCTTTCCATATCTGAGATGAGGTATTATGTATACTATTTACATTATTCGGACTATTGTCCTCATCTTTGTCGTCATATTTATCACAACATTTCGGCCGTTGTATGCTCCGGCCTTCTTCAGGTGGTTGGAATGTCGAACTGAACCGTTTATTTCGCTCACTGGGGTAGACTTCTCGTTCCACATGCCATGTTTAATGAATGTCAGTTATCAGTTATCTCCTGTTAATTCCCCTCTCCAAGTTCTCCACCGCCTTAACCAGGTATCGAACTCATACTCTTTGGGTCCTGTCACTGGATCTAACTAATGCCTTCACCAACTGTGTGAAGGTGAGTTCAATACAATACTTGGTTAAGGTGGTGGAAAACTTGGAGAGGAGAAATAACAGGAGATAACTGATAATTGACATCCATTAAACATGGCACTTACAACAGCCGAAACGTTGTAAATAGGAGCCCCCTACTTTATAAGGCTGTTTGACATATATTGATTGAGTATAGGAACCTGAAGACACATGTAATCAAAAAAAAAAAAAATTCCACCTGATGTTTAATCCTTTCTTGCTTTCCTTTACTACTTTGTCTTGGAGATTCTACAGTTTTCCTTTTTGTATCTTCCATCAACACAGTGTTATCTGCATATTTCATAATGTTAAGATTCTGTTCATTGATCTTAACAACATAAGATACACAGATGACACAGCACTGATAGCAGACATGGAAAAGAAATTACAAAACCTTCTACAGAATGTAGTGAAGGAGCGCAAGAAGAAGGAACTAAGCATAAAGTCCAAGAAAACAGAATGCATGGTCATCAATAAAAAGATGAGCCTGAAATGTGATTTGTAGGTCGGGGACATTAAAATCAAGCAGGTGCAGAAGTTTAAATATCTTGAAAGTGTTTTCACAGAGGATGACAAGTGTGACACTGAGATCCATAGATGGACTGGGATGGTTAATGATGCATTCCAAAAGCTGGGTAGAGTACTGCAAGACAGGAGGATCTCTTTGGTGACAAAGAAAAGAGTACCGAGCCGTTACGTGACATCTGTCCTCCTTTACGGCAACGAATGTTAGACAGTCTCATCAAAGATGAAGAGACTCAAGGCAACGAAGATGTGGTTCTAGAGAAGGCTGTTGAGGATATCATGAACCAAGCATG